CCTAGTGGGAGGGAGGGATATTGTTTCATGTTGCATATGGGAAGATTCATTTAGTTACTCTGAGAATTCCTGCAGTAACTCCTGAGTTACCACACAAACGTCATAGCGTGAAGTGTTTTCTCATACACTYTTCAATCCTTAGTCACTGTGGCTGACCATGCACATCAGGTTTAAAAAGGAGAATCAACAGATCAGATTCCAGATTCAGTCTTTCGAAGAGGACCCTGTGGCTGTTAGATGATTCTTCAGAATATTTTGGATGCAATGAATGATGGTTTTGGAMTCCCAGAGCTCAGCAGTACTATTGCTGTTCCTTTCAATCCCTGCTGCACTGAGATGGCCATTTAGGACATCCCTCTCACAGCTAGTGATGAAGCTGAAAATCTCAAACCTGTGTTAAGAGAGTATCATGGTGTAGGTCAGCCAAGAAGAACAATGAAGTTGAATACAAGAGAAAAAGTATTAACTTTTTTGTAGGCAAAATATTTTTAAATTTCAAGAAAAAAATTGTTGAGTCTTCMATTTTCAAACAAAACATTTTATTCCCATGCTTTGCATTACTTTTGAAGTATTCTAGAGAACACACATACTAAATGCCAGAAATAACACATCTTGSCAAGAGAGATTTAAAATAGCAAGTATTACATAACGGTGTATGCAAACCTGAAAATGGTTCCAGGGATTGATTAGAGCAGGAACGGAAGAGAATATCAATGGGATACAAGCATTTACAAGAAAAGGTCTGGCAAACAAATTATTTAAATTCTATTGCCTGGACCTTTCCAAGAGCTTCTACAATATTTTTTTACCAAGTTAAACACAAGAAGGAATATGAAAAACAAACTGGAAATACCAAACTTTGTTGATAAAGGCAGTATCTCAGAAATCTTTTAATAGGCATAATGTATATGCAATGATGAGAGACAGAAAAGTCCAATAATGTGTAAATATATCCTCATCCATTAGTAAGAGCAAACAGCTGTATTAATTCAAAAGCAACCTGCACCTGTCCAACATACCACATCTCTCCAATGTCCTGYTAGTGTCCCTGAAAGAAATATTCGGGTTTAACGTCCATTTTAAATGCTTTTAAAAGCACTTTTAACATTAATTCTAATTTAGRTCTTCCTTTCTGTAAAAGATTATTATTTAAGCTTGGATTTTCTTTTCCACKGTTAAGTCTGTAGGAGAAATGTCCATTAGAACTTGATTGTCTTTGCTGCTCCTGGGATACTAAACAAAGGCACTCAGGAAACTTTTTCTCCCTTTAACAGTTATGCCAGTATCAGAAGGATGGTGGAACCTGGCATGGGGGTGTTGCATCTCAACATAATGGTTGTATGGGACTCTAACACGGCCAGAGCATTACAAATGCCTGTTTCAAGAGTGGGAATTTTGCTGRTAAGCACACTTAAGAAGCTGTCTTTGCTCCTGATGTAACACTGGGTGAGATTACAGAAGAGGAGGTCATAAGGTATTATTTGCATGGGTTTCAGCAGTTTGGGTTTCAGAGTTTGTTGAGAATCAACCTAAAATGAAAACATGCCTCTCTCCAAAAATAAGCAGCTAAATCTATAATACACTATCGTAGATTTTTTTAAAATGGCATTAACAATGATGGATTATTTATTTTGTGTAAGACTAGGTCATGGAATTCATGAATCCAGGCCCTTGCTTTTGCTCCCTGAAGCAGCCTTTATTCATAATGAGAAATACAGAATCTAATAGAGTTTAAAATATTTGGAACATACAAAATCAAATAGAATGTGCACATATCATTGGCAATCACTCAGTTTCCAGCTATAGTAGCYAGCAGTTTGAAGTACTCTACTATTGTGTTTTTTTGGTTACTACTACCCCACATTATATAAGATCTGACTATTGTCTGATCAATTTAATCATAGTTCCTCAAAGAATTCCATGAAACCCAGCATAGTTATGACAAAATGAAATTTAAAATACCTACCTGAAGACAAACATTCACGCAGTATTTTCCGTTCTTACAGCAAGTCTTTCAAACAGATGGGTGAAATGATCCATGGTAGCCTTGGTGGCAGTTCTGCAGAGCCAGTCTGTGCAGCTGGCTGGGAACAGGTGTGATCCTGCAGCCAAGCCAGGCACTCAGGCCAGCCACAAGATAATGATGTAATTTGTGTAGCTGTGCTGCAACTTAACAAAAGTCAGGTAACAGATCTCACTACAAGATAAATGAAGTTCTTAAAACATGTTGGAGGATCTAGAAGCCAGCCTTCAATGCGGTAGCTGTTTAGCAGGAAGTACCCTAAAGGCGGGATCCACTTCCTTGGTCCCAGTGTAGATTTGAGACAGCTCAACATAGTGCTAGAAGGAAAGTTCTGCCTTGTAAGAGTGAGGTAAGTAGGGACAGCAGTAGTCATAAGAAAGCAGATGTTACAGGGYGTTGAGAGCAATAAATAGATTAAAAAGCACTGGAATGTGGTACAAACTGGATCAGTCATGGAAAAAAAAACCCAACTAGCCATCATTAACTTGACTAGATAGCCTGATCTTCAAGACAAGTTCAAATAAACCATCTCCTAAATAGGTTTATCAAAAGATGAGAGAATGATAGTAATGGAATTTTTGCAGCACACAAATGCCCTAATGTTTCTGTCTCTTACCTGTTAAGAGCAGCTGTGAAACCAGTGGTAATTGGCCTTTTATCACTATAAAGGCAGTATGAAGAAGCAGCTTCTTTTCCCACCTCACCCAACTAAATGGAGAACAGCAAACAAAAGACTAGATTTGTTTTAGGTCAGGATGACACAATAAGAAGAAAACTGTTCCATTTTAGGCCTGGTGGAAGTCTGAGAAATTTGCTATTAGAAAAAAACCAGCCTTTAGATATATATGCATTTAGAACTTCAACCTTTAATTTTCTTTTTAATCTCATTTTAATTATCAATAATCTCTTTTTTTTTTTTTTTTTTGTTTTCTTTGTCTTATAAGTACCCCCATAATTATAAGTCTTATTGTTGGTCTTCTGCTTCTTAAATTTTTAGATGAGTGTATATTTTATGTTTGCTCAGTTTATGTGTATAAATTTTCCTATTTTGGTAGAGCATTCACATCTTCTTCCAGAATTATCATCAGGACAGTATGTTTTGCCCTGCTCTGGGAAGAGGTTCAAATAAGTGGCTTGTCTAAAAGAAGACTCTGGAGGTACTTTCAGATATAGCAAAGGGTATTCTAGGGAAAAAGGRTATGGAGAACATGTTGTCTTCTCACTTGATTTATTGTGTGCACAGTCACCTGTTGACCGGATTTCAGCTGGGATACTTTGAGATGTTATAGCTCAGTTTGCTTGTATTCTTCCATGAGAATTTGGTTCTGCACGGTCCCAGCAGGAAGGTAATCATTGACTGGGTCTTGAATGCTTGTAAGAATCTGACCTACCCCTCGGCTGATTCTCTGCCCGTAAGACCCACTGCTGTTTTTGGCTGAGATTGTCTGACCTCTGTAGACTTGGGCCTGATGCTCACATAAACCAAACTTGCTTAGTAGGATAAATACATCTCTACGGAAAGCTTTGGTGAAAATAGCATAAAGAAAGGGGTTGGCACAAGAATTGAGTGGGTAGAAAAGTACCAGCAAAATCTTGGAATTGCTGACAGTTATCAGTGGTTTGTTCATAATGGCAGATAAAGCGTGGAAGGAGATGGGAGCCATGCACAGAAAGTCTGTGAAAATCAACACGGCCATCCGCTTGGCAATTTTGGTGTCTTTGTCCCCTGACTTGTACTGGGGGTTTCGTACCGTCAGGTAGATTTTTACRTAGCAGGCACAGATGATGACAAAAGCAATGATGTTACATATTAAAACGAAGACAATGTAGGCTTCGGCCACTGGTGTTTCAGTGTCCATRGGCAAGCAGATGCTGACTTTGCTGTAGCTGCTGACACCAGCCAGTGGCAAGAGGGCGAGCAGGATGCAGGAGAGCCACCCCCCCAGCATGATGAGCACGGCGTGCCGCAGGCGGATCTTGCGGTCGGGGCGCATGGCGAAGGTGATGGCGTACCAGCGCTCCAGGGTGATGACRGTCAGAGTGTACACAGAAAGTTCACTGGCAAACACTGTGAAAAACCCGGCTGTGTTGCAGCCAGGCCCAGTCTGCCACTCTATGGCATGGTTATAGTACTCTGACCTGGTGTGAAGATCCACGGAAGCGATCAGAAGGAGGTATAACCCCATGCAAAAGTCAGCAAAGGCCAAGTTACACATCAAAAAGCGAGGCACGGTCAGTTTATAATGACTGGTTAGAAGGATTAAAAGGACAAAAACGTTGCCTAGGATGGCAAGCAGGTTCACAAACCACACCACAATCCTCAGAAATTGGTATCCCATTATATCCTCACAGGGATTAAACTCATCAGGCTCTGGTGTGCATATTACATCTTCATTGCCTCCACAGACAGGATAGTCATAATGACTGTCAAAGGTCTGGACATCTTCCATTTGAGGGTTCTTGAGCTCTTTGCCAAAGCCAAGATTTCCTTCTCCACGCTCTTCCAAAAAAATGTAAGAATGGGGATTTTCATGAAAATTTGTGAACTTGCTGTCTATGTCATACACGGCATCGGTGTGGTCTGTGTATTCTTCTGCATAATCTTTGTAAAATGGGTCTCTGAGAGCTTTGACTGATCTCTTATGAAAGCTGTGGCTGCTCTGGTTACACATCAGATACTCCAGGATCCTGAAAGAGTAGAGGGGAAAATCACTGCTGGCATTTACAGTCTGACTGGTGCACAGCATGTAAGCAAAGGGAATGCTTGAAAAGCAAATCATCCTGAATGAAAATGTAGCTAGAAAAATGTGATTGGATGTATTTTTGTTAACAGACATATAGTGTATGATAGCATTTCTGGGCTTTTGTTTGAACTATATTTTAAATTTTATTCCCAGTAGAAATTTTACTTGTTTGGCGTCCATAATCCCTCTTCTTTTTTGTGTCTACATTCTTAGTAGGTAAGAACACGTTTATCTACTGTTTATGACTTCTTAGATAATTCATACAGTATTACTTTTTTTTTTTCACTATTGCTCACAAATCAGTTTCTCTCAGAACTTCCATCAGTCTAATTTCTGTTAAGTAGGTTCTTTACAGCTAACCAGCAATACAGTAATTTGGAATCCTGTACCTCATGGTGTGATGCAGCTGTATTTGTAGTCAAAATTTCAGTAGTGAAAAGCTTTTCAGTTAGAAAATATATGAGACTTGAGGTTTTAACACCTCCAACATTTTTTCAGGCCTTGGTGTAGCACATTACCCTTTTTTTTTTCTTTTCCTTTAATTTTGGATTCAACAAGTGGAGGGAAGAACTGCTGCAAAAGGTTCCTTCTTCTGACAGTTTGCAATTGCAACCTCTGTCTATACGTAGAAAAAATGGTCACAAAACTGCCAATAGATGTATTTTTATATTACTAATAGAACATTGTCTTCACTGACATACTTAAAAAATAAATGCCAGTTAGTGACTCACCCACTTTTTTTTTTCCAGCTCTTGAAAGCACAGCAGTGACTTGGATATGATAGGTCAGCTCGCATTAGCTGAAGAAATATCTTTACAGCTGGTAATTTCTTTAAAGTCCATGTATTTTTGGTTATTAGCTCTTTTAGGCTTTCCAATCCTTTGGCTGGAAGGTTGGCAACAGCTGTTCTGGAGATGTCCCTAAGTCAAGGAAGAAAAAGACAAATGTCAGAATATTCACTGACTGATCAGATTTTGTTTCAGATTCTTGCAGTTCTTCAGGAGTTTCATAGARTTCTATGAGTCAGCCTCTCTTAAGTCTCTCTTTGCTCCTTGGGTAGTCGTTACAGCTCCCGCTTTTCCATACCTTATCTCTGTTAAACCTGGCTGTGTTCCTGTTTCCCAGGAACATCTTGGTAAATCAGATCTTGGAACAGATCTTACCAAGACAAGGCTGGGCTTGCTGCAAGCTTCATGGGTTTGCATCAAGTCCTCATGGTGGTGGCAGCTATCTGCAGGTAGGTAACATGGTTAAATGCTGTGTGATGGGAGATGCCAAGACTCTCTGAAAGGGAAATGACACTTCACAAACACTTGAGAATTCTTTGAAGATGTACTGGCACAAGCTTATGGAGAAAGATGATCCTGATTGTGCAATGAATTGGGAATTCTGACAAGCCTTGACAAAATCAGGTATCAATGGCTGTTGAGGTAACTAGTCTGTTATGTGGCAAGAGGAATGTCCTTCCTGGATTAATTCAAAAATAAAAGAGTGGGGGAAAGCTTGAGAAGAGGTGACAAGTTTTCATGCTAGAGGAAGAGTGGAAAATTAAGAGGCATCTGAATATACAGGTCATTGAAGCAGGGCCCACAGAGGCCAGGCTGGCGCTGTAACTCCTGAAATAAACAGTCTGAGAAGGAAATGAGAGTAACTGCAGCAAAGCTTTTCTGGCACAAAGTAATGCAAGGAGTGAAAGCTAAAGCTGATTGTCTAAAAAAGCAGAAGGCTCCTGCAATAGTACGTGACTGAGCACAAAAATAATCAATATGAGTCAATATTGATGAATGTAAAGTGCATTTAGGAAGAAGCAATTTTAACTGTACATGGATGACAATGGGGTTTAATTTAGCCAACACTCTGGAAAGATCTTTGTGTCCTCTGCAAATGTCATGTCAGTGCTTTTAGTAGTGTTGAAGGGAGTTAGAATGCTAAGAATTCTTGGGAAAGAAACTAAAAATAGAACAGAAAAACTTTACTTTGTAAATCTAATTTGACTGTAACTGAAATATATGCAGTTCTAATAAGAACATGGAAAGCTACAGCTAGGATGATAAAAGTATCAAGTTGTTTGTATAAGAAGTAATAAGGAGCAGATAAGGACTTTTCTCTTGGGAAGAGCCACGATTGGAAGCAGCAGTAGTCGTAGACTATACTGCCATGCACATTGCAAGAAAGATGATTGGAAGTTATTATTCACTCTTGTRAGATGAATTATAGAACACCTAAGAATGTGACACAAGAGACTTAGAAATAGGAGGAGTCATAAACTTTTCATAAACCTGTATCATTGCATAGTGAAAATTAGTGCCATGGTTCATTGTGCAGGCCCAAAAGCTAAATAACAAGAATATACAATTTTTTTTTATTTTATTCACAGTTGTGTAATATTCCCATCAGAAGTGGCTGGGTCAGGAAGAACACCCTGGAGGACAAAGCTTGTGCTTTGGAAACAGCCRCTGAGAGGAGCTTCTCTGGGACCCTGAGAGGAGGAGCTGCAGCTCCGCTCCTGGAGAGCTGTGAGCAGAAGGGAGCAGCCAGCCCAGGGCTCCGGTTGTGGAAACAAATTCCCAGGTTTGATGGACTTGTCAAGAGGATCTGTCTCAAACTGAAGTGACTATAAAAGAGGCTAGGAGGAAACTGATTGAGTGAATGATAAGTCACAGGGACTAGATGGTTTTCATCAGGAAAGTTGTGAAGCAACTGAAGGAGGCAGTAGCTGAATTGGTTGGTGGAAGAGTTATAGAACCTTCAACTTAGCTCCCCTGCAGAAAGACAGCAAATGAGCTACCAACTAATATGATGTACCTTGAGAAAGTCAGCATGTAAAGGGCTTTTGTAAAAATAAGTCCTGCTTTGCAAACTTCTCTGAGTGTTGTGCTTGTGATCTGCTTGAAGTCTCCAGGATCTTCTACAAGGCCTTTGACAAATGCCCAYAAGGCTGAGAGAGAAACCATGCAGGCACACTCCTTGTGGAGTGTGGAAGGTGTCAAATGCTCAGGATTTTGCAAAAGGCTAGGAACATTGACTGCTAGCCTAGAGCCAGACCAGACTTCAGCTTTTAAGCAGCCATGGTCTAGAGCCCACTCAGGTGCTGGAAGTGGTAGCGCAGAGCTCTGTGCTGGCGGAACAGCAACCAAAGTGCTCTCAACCAATTGCAATATTCTGGCTTGTCAGGACAAAATAAAACAGCTGCCATGTTTTCTTAGAGATGTCATGTGACATTTCCAGGCTGTTGCTTACCTTAGCCTAAATTTACACATTATATTGAATGTTAAAGAGAAATTGGAGAGGTTCAGATAAATGTGTGAATCAAACATAGCTTAAAAATTCAGAGATGTTTTCTGAACCAACTATATATTATAGAACTGTTAAACAGACATTTAGTTGCTCAGATTTTTTTTTTCTTTTTTCCAGGGTTGTTCTACTTTGGCCAAATTCTTTGYTGGTATTATGAAATTAGAATTTCTGAACTAGATCTAAGAGATAATAGCTTTTTCCAATAATCCTTTTCATTGCTGGAAGCATGCAATTGTTGCATCAAATCCAGTAATAGCGATTATTTAAAAAAAAAAGGTAATTAAGAAAATGAGATTGAATGTGTCATAGTACAATTGAGAATTTTTACCCAATCATATACAAATTTCTGAGCACTACAATAGTTAAAATAGCATGAAATATATAAYGGATGGACTTAGACTACAGATACTATTTTATTCTCTACTGTAAGATTTTATATATCTACAAATTAGCGTTGTTTGATTAGCAAAATATAAAGTGCTCCTCTTGCTCAAAGAATTGCTTGTGTTCAGTGGCAGGAACAGAACAGAACCTCTTGGGGCAAGACCCATTCCTAGATTGGGAAATGATGCTTTAAAGGGTAATTCTGCATTCTGAAGATAATTATCTACTCACATGTATCTTGGTGACTGTAATGTTTGACCTGTGTGCTTTGTAAAAGCTAATTGAACAACGACCCTGATTGTATTTTTGTTGTACGCTGTTGAACTTTTGCTCTAGGCAGCAGCTCTTTCTGCATTTAGTAAATCAGGTTCACTGAGTTGCTGAACTATTGCCAAGGTTTCATTTTGAGGTGAAGATTAATGTGCTGTCATTATACTGTTAAAATAGTTTTCTAAAGGGAGCAATCTGTGTATACATCTACATACATCTGAGTATGCAACATGACAAAGGAACCAGAATTACTGACATCTGTTTTCCTCTATTCAGTGATCACAATCCCTGCTTCCTCTGCAAATTTGAAAAAAAAAACCCTAATTTTTCAATAGTCAAGTAAGTTTAATTAGGTGGTCTGAGAGCATGGCCAAACTCACAAAACATATATAGAGTCAGGCACAATTATTTGTAGTTCAGTCTTTCTTACTGGGTTTTCTTAAAGGCAGAATGGACCATTACCCCATTAGAGTGGATCCACGGTCTGTATTTCAACCTTTAATTTGCTGTTGCTGCTGAAATCCTGGTCAAATAAAGGGCACCATCTGTGGGGCGCATGTTCCAACCACCATAAATTCTTATCTCGCTTGAAGAGTGTATTTAGGGAACTCCCGACAATAAGTTCTGCCAGCTTGGTAGGAAGACATGACAGAATTAGAATTTATCTTTAAAGCTCCATAAATTTTTGAGTTTTTAAAATGTTTTTTCTTTGCGTACTGCTGCCACTATAAGCAATGCCATCCACTGACCCAGAAAAAAAAGCAATATTCTCAAAATCATTTTCCATGGAGCTAATTTTCAAGATGAAACAATTTTGTAAGTAAAACTTTCTTTTTTGAGGAAGATCCAATGGCCAGCTAACAACACCAAGGTGCCTGAACCAAAAATGACCTAACAAATTATTTCTCACAAGAATTAGCCAAGTTGTTTACACTGTCCAAGAGAATATGGAGGGACTGTGTTGGTCAGACTTTTCAGACTGTTACACCAGTTAACAAATCTGTGGTCTCTGTAAATAACTCATTAATACTGGTCATGATGGTAAGTGGGGGGTGCATACTATGGCACCCATTGCAAGGACATTTTTGTCTCCTGTGAGAGGTGTTAATGGCCARTGACATGACACAACAATAAATACTAAGTTTTCACTCATTTTTGTTTTTTTTACTTCAGCCTTCTWATGGTAATGCATATGGGGGAGTTTCAGAAATGATTTTGTTCTTGTTAAAATAGTTCTGGTTCCTGAAGGTCAGTTAAGAGATCTGTCCAGGTGGAAGGATTCCGCTTTAAATTGTTGCTCATTTTATGGCAAAGCTTTCCTATGTCACACATTGGAATAATTACTGGTTACAGTAATCACTCGCAGAATAATTACTGGTTATTTGTGGATAACACAAGTTCCTTAAGCTGCTATTAAAAATATATAAAAATAAAATTAATAGCTAATAACTTGAATTATTAATTCTGTACTGGTTTTGGCTGGCTTAAATTTCTTCACACTACCTAGTATGSGGCTATGTTTTTGATTTGGGAGCAAAAATAGTGGTGATAATACAGGGATGTTTTAGCTATCCTGGGCAGTGCTTACACTGAGCCAAGGCATTTTGTGTTCCTTGCATCATCTGACCAGTGAAGAGGTTAAGGGTGCACAAGAATGTGGGAGAGGACGGCCAGGTCAGCTGATCCCAGCTGATCAAGAGCTATCCTAGACCTTATCACATTATGCTGAGCAATAAAGACTGAGTGGAAGTTTGCCAGGACTGCCATTGCCTGGAGACTGGCTGGGAATCAATGGGCTGGTGGTGAGCAATTGTTTTTGTTACATCACTTGTTGTTCTTGGGTTTGGTGTGTTTTCTTCTTCCTCTGATTTTTTTTTTCAACATCCCTTTTAAATTATTAAGTTGACATTATCTCAACCCCTGATTTTTCTCACTTTTACCCTTCCAATTCTTTCCCTCATCCCATTGGGTACAGGGGTGAATAAGCAGCTGTGTGGAGCTGAACTGCAGGCCAGTGTTAAAATGTGACACCATCCCAAGATCTCTAGGGTAAGGCTAGCATGTCAAAGCATCATGATGTGAAATACTCTGGCTTTTTAAACCACTGTTGATTTACTGTGCTTATATGCCCTTTTGGGCCTTCTGCCTTTGAGAAGCAATACCTCTCTCTGTAATGACACTACAATAAGTACCACATMTCCTTCAGTTGTACTACTAGGACTCTTTATTAGCCATGAAGGTGTATCATTCCAATAGGAGATGGATAGCTGGCTGTTTAGACTGCAAGTATAAAACATGTCCTGAGGTCAAGGCTCAATGGTAGCTGGGCTAGCACAAAACTTATAGAAGACTAGGAAAAATTCAAGTCATTTGGGATCTCTAACTTGAAAACATAGGGTAAGAAGGAAGTTCTTTACAGGTTTGATATGCACATCCTAGCAAGGCATCTCCAGCCCCTAAACCAAGAGGTTCTGTGTAGCTGACACATCTCAAAACTAGCCCTGGCACTGGTTGTTACAGCCTACAATTAACCACCCACAACTCTTTGCAGCATATCATTACTTGTTCACCTGTCCAGCATAACAACACCAATTCAAATACCCACAACAATCAAGAGTCAAAAAATCTATGCCGCTGCAAGCTTTCAGCTGCTGGAGCCAGACTGATTTTCTGAAGTTGAAAAGGTTCTGAAAGAAAAATAATGACTTCTGCATCTTTTTTTGGTGTTATTACAGGTAGCTGCTAGGACTCCTTCTGAGAACAATACACTGTTATTCTGCTATGGATATCCTGTTTTCTTGAGCAGAAAATAAAACTTATTCTGACATGGACTGAGCACTGCCAGCACCATCTGGTTTTGCAGTGCAGGAAGAAATTCTTTCAGTATTTCAGTTCTCCTTGTGAACAGTCGCAGGTGCTACATTACATACTAGACAATTTGAGTCAGGGAATGTGATTCTTCTGGAAGTTCTCAACTGCTTTAAAGTTTTATTTTCATTCTGTATTATGATTCCCAATTTTAGTGAAAAGTTCTTTGGAGGATTAAAAAAATCAGACTAGAGGCCAAATAACATGAACAAAAAAAGAAGAGACAACATCAGAGATAGCTATTTTTCTGTCTAAAATTAGTTTTTCATCTCTTTCAATTTTCTTTACACGTGTACTATGGGAGAGTCATTTTGCATTACAGTTGTACAGCCATGAGACAGGTTGTAGTACAGAATCTTTCAGCAGAATAATTGGTAGGAACCATATACGTAAAGTAAGATGCAAGCATTTAATAAATCAGTTCCCTAAAGCACAGGTTTTGTTGCTGGTATTATTTTTGTAAACATGTCATTCCTGTGCCTGCTGCACTGATGATAATGTTTGTAAAGAAAGTGTAACCTAAACCAGTATTATTTTTAAAGCTTTCTCTACTTCATTTTCTCCTACTTACAGTAGAGTTGGCCCACTGTGCACTCCCAGAAATGCATCATCATTGATAACTTCCAGGTATTTGTTCTTGTGCAGATAGCTGCAGAAACAAACAGAACACACTGATTTGGAAGTAGTTACCCATAGGTTACAGAAGTTCTCGAGTTTACTTGCCTGAACACATGTAGAAAAGCAATATCTATAAAGGCCATCTGTTCCCAACGACTTATTGAAGCATTATCAGTTACTTCATTTCCTATGTACCCAGGAAACAAAATACAGGTTTTCCATTTTGAAAAGAAATTAAATTTCTCAACAAAATTTATTTTGCTAATTTATTTATTATCTTTGTTCCAAATTCTTTTTCTTTCTCTGTCACACCCATAAGGACACATGCATACACATTATATCTTCAAGTATGTATGTGTGAGGATGAGGTGAAATAGTTTTGTTTTCTTTCATCAGAATGAGGTATGGGGAATAACATGATGGAACATGTGATGGACAAACCGGAAAATAGCTTCCTCCATGTTGTGGGTTCAAGAAAACTTTTAAATGTTTTAAAATCTCCATAGTCAAGTGGAGGTTTCCATTTACAGGTCAAAATTTAAGACTGAAGTTTTGTTGTAAGAAGAGCAAGGGAAGAGTGGAATGTTTGGYACCCCATTATAAACATTTACAAGCTAGCTTGGGATGTAGCTAGGAAGATAAAAAGTGCAATAGAAAGGTGGTCACAAGCAATGTCAGAGGGTGTCCATGAAGTTCACAGAATCACTGAATATTCTGAGTTGGAGAGATCCATCAGGATCCTTAAAATCCAGCTCCTGACCCTGTGCAGAACAGCCCCAAGAGTCACACCCTGTGCCTGAGAGTGTTGTCTAAATTCTCCTTGAACTCTCTCAGGTTGCTGCTGCCACCTCTTCCCTGGGCAGCCTGTTCCAGTGCCCAACCACCCTCTGGGTGAAGTTGTAACTGCAATGAGGTTTTCCCTCAGYCTCCTCTTCTCCAGGCTGAACAGACCAAGTGACCTCAGCCACTCCTCAAACGGCTCCCCCTCAATGCCCTTCACCATCCTCATGGCCCTCCTTTGGGTGCTCTCTAATGGCTTCATCTCTTTCTTATATTGTGATCAAAACTGCRCCCAGCACTCGAGGTGAGGCTGCCCCAGTGCAGAGCAGAGCAGGACAATCACCTCCCTTGCCCAGCTGGCGAGCTGTGGTGTGGAAAAAATTAAGTAAAGACTCTAATCCTGTTCTGGTTGAAGTCATTGGCAAWTTTTTCATAACATTCACTGGATATAAGCTTATATTGATCACCATAGTGAGAAATGAGAAGTAAATGCACTTCATCTGGGTTATACAACAGAAAGTCTTAGGGAGCCAAATAATACTTCTGGCATGTGATTCATTGGACATTACTCATGCCTTAAGCCTTGCTTCTTACAGAGAAAAATAGCTTACATCACCTTCTCAACCATTGTTGTTTGAAATAAGCTTTCATTCTTTATAAATATATGGCATTTTAGTATCACCTGGTATTTGTGTTTTTTGAAAACTGTGTCAATGGCACACTATTGTGAATATTTAATTCAGTGTGCAAATTTCCTCATGCTTTTGTCTCCAAAACGAATACAAAAATTAAAACCAGAGCAACAGTTAAGAATTAATCCAAGATTTCAACATCTATGTTGTAGTTTTGAAGGGCACAAAAAACTGCTTAACCTAATAAAACCTGTCTGCTTTWGTAACTAGACACTATTATACAACCAGTTAATTGCTTGTCCAATTTTGAAATATTTTCCCCCTGATMTTTGAGTATAATAATGAGTAATAAACCTGAAATATAATAGTTTATGGACATGATAAAAATCTTCAAAGTTACAAATAGAAACAGAGACTTTGGGAAATACATAACCATGTGTTACTAAGGAGGGGCTGTGGTGTTAGCTGCCAGTTTTCACATCAATGAGTCAGGCCCACCAGAATGTACAATTTCCTGATGCTAATTGATTTCAGTTGTTTAAGCCCTTTTATTTTGATAGGTTCAGCTTTTAAATAGAAAGAATAAGGTTTTGATAAATATTAATTTGATAAAGAAAGCTTATGTAAAGCCAGTATAGTTCCTTCTGAAAGTGTCATTAATCCTGTTGTTACTGATAGTTAAATGGTACAGAATGTCATTTACATTCAGAGAAAAGAGAAGAAAAGAGAAGAGAAGAGAAGAGAAGAGAAGAGAAGAGAAGAGAAGAGAAGAGAAGAGAAGAGAAGAGAAGAGAAGAGAAGAGAAGAGAAGAGAAGAGNGAGAAGAGAAGAGAAGAGAAGAGAAGAGAAGAGAAGAGAAGAGAAGAGAAGAGAAGAGAAGAGAAGAGAAGAGAAGAGAAGAGAAGAGAAGAGAACCACAACAGTGGTATCAACATGTCTAAACCAACCTTAGAAAATCTAGAAATCACATAGGTGATGTGTATTATCTAACCTCAGTGGGGACACTGGAATAATAGTCATTTTGGAGAGTTGGTGGGTGGCAATCAGATACACATGAATACTGTAGGGAGTGTTAACAGMTTGCATGGGAATAAAACGCCACGTCCTTGGCTGTCTTGAGAAAAAGAAGATTGGAACATAGGATTGATAATGCAGGTGGCTTACAATTATAAATATTACTAATACTGTAGCTTTTGCAAACCTACCAATCCTATGCTGATGAGTAGAAAGTGACAGCCTCACAAACCAATGTATGTTTGACACAAATGTATGCACTGGTTGCTAAAGTGGATAAAAGAGGCCTGTCCCAGAATAAAGGGGTTACTTTTTGTGTGTGTCTATGTGTGTCTTTGTGTCTGTTATTTTGTGTCAGCTGTCTGGCCAACAGCGACAGAATACCACAGTGCAGACTGCAGGAAATCTGTGGTAGTTAMGTGCAGCCTCTGGAGTAGGAGATGGTGATATTTTTGTAGCGCTGTAGGTAAATGAAGGCCCATTATCACATTTTTCAATCCAGTCAGATCAGTAAGCCATAAGTGKGCCAACAGAGTCTCTATGGACTCAAGATCATCCAGGGGTGAGTGGGAAGTGTTTAACCTCAACCTCACTAGAAAAAAACAGGGCTGCAGGATGCTGAGCAGGACCTTCTGAGGGCACGAAACACTAACAGGACATTTCAACTGCTATGTAAAACAGGACAATGTCAGGGCATGACAAAGATACTGATATTCAGGCAGCATCYATGCAGGTTTCATAAAGCAACAGGTTAGGGAATCTGCATGAGGAAAAGCAACCTCTGATTTCATCTTGAGGGGCACACATGCTCTGTTTCAAAATGTTAGTGTCTCAAGGCTGTTTTAGAAGAGCAACCACCAGGTACTGATATTCAGTGACTTTCAAGGACCAAAAAAGCTAAAGAGGCAAACATAGCTATAGTCTCCAAAACGGAGAAATATAAATATATATATATATATATATCCATACATACATACACACACACATATATATAAAAGAGAATTTTCTTAAACAGAATTATGAAAGTTACATTGTTGAGAGCATTCTGTAAGCTCTTTAGGCGCCATTTTGGAGATAGAGAACAAACATAAAAAACAAGAATTGGTGAAAAAAACCAAAATCCCGAATATTCAATATGTTGACCACATATTTAAGTATCACTACTATACTATTAAATGGGCTCCTAACGTGTAACATGGTAGTGTACCTAGGCATCCAGCTGAATTATTCAATGATGGTTAAAAAAGGAAGATCAGGCAAACAAGATGCATTGGTAAGTGAGCAGTATTAAGGATTCATCACATGATTTCTCCCTACAATTGTTTATCTTGACTCTGAGCTGTGCCAAGTATTATAAGTGAATGCTGAAAGTGTATCCCAAAGCAAATATATTCTTTTGGAGTTTATTTTTGTAATTAGATTTTGAGATTGCACATTTTCCTTTCCATTTCAGTAATTTAGAAGGCTCTGTAAAAACTCATCACAAATATATTTTGCCATTCACTGGAAATATGTTTAAAAAACTCTTCTTTCCTCACCAGTTCCCTTACAGAAATAAACACTGGCGCAGCAGCACCACTTTGCAGAAGTCTGCAGGAGTGATGCACTTTATGGACCTTAATGACAGGTTAAGATGAGGGATTCARGTGTCAGATGAATGCTTTTCAGTACAAGGCTTGTTCAGCCCGTCATTCCTGGTTTCTTACTTCCCTACTCTTCCAAAACTCACACAGTAATACTGTGGTTTGCTATTAAACACAGATCTGTGTTGGATGACAAGGTCAATAATAGGTAGTGCTATTATTCAGTGTGATAATGGAAACYATTTCTCCATGGTTTCTCAACGATACCTGCTTTAATTTTTTTGACCCCCTTTAATTCCATAGGCATTTTGAYACTGCAATAGTGGTCGAAAGGCCCAATGCATAGCAGAAGAGAGCCTCCAAGATTCCCAAAATGTCTTCTGATTTATGGATGGAACATGATGGCTTTGAATAATTTGCCAAAAAGTCATGATTGTTTTTGATTGTTTTCCTTTTTTACTTCTTTTCATCCTTGAGATAATAATTCAAAACCCATTCAAATTTCCCTCACCCTGTTTCTATTAGTTAATTTTTGCTCCTATTTTTGTCAAGTTTAAAGGCTCTTGGATCRGGCTTAGAGAAAAACAGGTACTTGCTTCATGATTCAGCGGTAGATAAACAGGAGTTCAAATTGGAACTGTCAGAATAAAGAATATGGAATATTTGCCTTTTGCATTAACTTAATGCTGCTGCTGCTAGAAACAAATATCCAAGCTTGCACTTAACAAAATTATACCTTATCCTGTCATATGGTAACTTAACTACTTGAGAAAATTAGTTTAGAAATTTCAGTGTGGTTTATCAAACAGATAAAGGCTTTACCACTAATGCTCAGCTCCCTAGTCTGCCTTGTACATCTAGAGTAGTGCTTTGCTCCAAGTAAATGTCATATGATTTAATTAGGAGAAAAGTGTTTGCTGTAATAAACCRTTTTTACTGCTCATAGATAAAACCATGAACTTAAGTCTAGTTTTAGTTATTTTGTTGGTTATTTTCCTTTTTTCTTTTTAAATTTGATTAACTAGTGCACCAGAGCCAATCTYTGGAGTGATTCACTTAGGATCATAAATCATAGAACATATCAGGTTGGAAGGGATGCATAAGCATCATGAAGTCCAACTCCCTGGTCCTTGCAGARTGACCTAAAATCAAAATCTAGATGCAATTTGAATTCTGACAGTCTTGGTGCTGTGGCCACTCCTCTTAAAAGTAATTAGARTAAGATATGTATTTCAGAGCCTCAAATAAGCAGAGAAGTTTGAGTTTTTGTCTTCTGATGGAAGAGAATGACCTTCTACTTACATAGCATCCAGATTTGTCCCGTTAAAAGCATGGCCTTGAATACTGGTAAAACCGTTATTGTAGAGTTTGCTGCAAGGAAAAAAAAATTAAATTAGTGTATTTTGGGCTGCTTCAATACATGAATATGTAACATTTTATGTATAATTTTTCTTGGTAACTGCACATTTATGGATGGGTTCATTTTAATCTCTTGAAGAAGCAGTAGGTACTGTGCAAGTTCAAATGCCCAGAAGCATTCTTGAATGCACCTGAATCAAGGATACAATGTGGGCAGACGTGCCATCTTTTACCTCTTTTTACAGCAATGATAGACTAAAACACTTTGCTTTAACTTTCCCACCCTTAAACTAAAAGCAAGGAAATGAAATCCTGCTAGGACTGATTAACGAAGACTAAAGAAACTAACAACTAGCATAGCAAAAAGGTCTGGTTTTCCTACCAGRCCTGCCTTAAACTTTTAGAATTCATTCTTTTGCTCCCTTAAAGCAAAAGGATTTTTTTTTAGACTTGCTTTAGAATACATTCATTTGCATTCTAATGCTCTTCCTCCCAGTTCAGGTCATGACTTTTACAGTAATTTTCACTCTTGTCAGCCCTTTCTTGTGGCTCACATTGACTATGACTTGCCTAACTGAATTTTATTTAATAGTTTTTTTTTCAAATATGACTTTTCTGATGTTTACCACTCATTAGTTTCCATGGTATGTGCCACTTAGGCTGCAAAAAGAGTTATTCTAACCCTGCTGTAGCTTTACAGGGGAAAACTTTGCAGAGTTTGTCCTTTGATTTTTTGCAAATATAACCGTTCACCRGCACTAGGCTCATGGCAAAACAAAACCACTTTAATCAAGCCAGTTTAAAGACAAGAGCAGGACTGATTCAAGTAACTGTCAAAGTAATGAGATTTATACAATATAGATTGTAGATACTGCTTATCTATGATGTTTCTCTGCTACAAACTACTAAGGAGTAGGACAGGAATAATGTTTTTAAACACTTTGCCATATGCATTACCAGAGAAGTAATTGCCTTGCGACTTAAAATAGAAGAACTTACAGGGTTAGAGATTCATTACAAAGCCCATGGAAAGCATTTGCAGGCACTGAAGTCATATAAGGATTATCTGCAATTTCACTGAAAAAGGAGACAAAATATCACAATCAAACATCTGCCTAACAGAGCTGCTCAAAAACAGCTCTGTTATTAATTGCTCTCTGCCTTGATAATTAATAGAAGTTTAAAACACAGTAAATTTATTTAAATAAACTAACTTTGATATATTTGATTATTATATTATTTAAATAAATAACATTGCCATGTTTATTATATTATACATTAAAATTATTTTTTTTAAAAGAACAAGTTTAAAAGAATAACCTGTGTATTTATATCTAAGGCCAGAAGATATATGTAGGATGAAGAATAGAGCAGCACACAGGAAGAGAGCTTGTGAGTTAAATGGGTTTTGTAGTTCTGGTGAGGTGTGCCAGCCTGCTGGCAACAGAGGCTAAAGGCACAGACAGGCCCCTGGTCTCATGAGCCACTGAATTAGCAGAGTGAATAAGCATCAGCTGCAGTGTCCAGTGAGCAACCCATGTGGCTTTAGAGCTGAAATCCTGCTCTCTAAATTCAGATAGGATATCAGATAATACATTATTCAGGACAGAGGCATTTTACTTTACAGAACTGCATCTAGCACATCTTTCACTATTAAGTGAAATAACTTACTGCTTCTTCTCAACTGTTGTCCAAAGATTATTTCACCACTCATTTCTTAAACACTTTTTAAACTCCTACTCTGTAGTCTTAAATACTATGTATCTTCAGACCACAATTCCGTTGTAATGAAATGGAGAGAGAAAAAGTACAGATTTAGTATGACTAAACTGGAGAAAGGAGAGAGGAAAAAGCTGGTAGAAACAAAGGGCAGAGCAAAGACTCTGATTGTCCTTTGTCTGGAAAAGAAAATACTGTGCAAATTTTTCTTTTTCTTCATCTTGTGGATTAGGTAGGGCCTAATAAGGCCAATGCATAAAGTCATTTGCCTGAAAAGTGCCAGAAATAACTTCATTCCTTTTCTGTACTACATTTGTGAATATATATGTGCTAACACTAAACAGTACTACAACYATTTTCATTCCAAGTAATTTTCACTGATAGATGGTTTTCCACCACAAGTTATTTGGGTTTGACATTTTTCAGATTGGTTCACTTTTCTAAATAAATGTTTACTCCTAGGTTGCTCCACCTCAAAGGCAAATAGTAATATAATGTATGGTTTTCCTCCAGCTATACCTTATTCATCATTTAGAAACCGATTATTTTTCATGAGCACTTTTTTTCTTGATGGAAGAAACAAAAAGTCATTCATTGAATAGCAACATTTAGAAATACACCTCAAAGAACTATCTGCCTTAAAAGTACAGGTCTACACTTTAAAAACTCAATGTAGCGTATAAGACCTATATCTATCTTTTGTTAGTGATCTCTATAGAAAAAAATCCAGGTAGAAGTAACACAATGCTTGGCTTTCTGCCACTTAGAAAAGCATGGAGTTGTTTGGAAGTGAGAACACAGATGGTTGTAAAAACAGCTTTGTTTCATCTAGAGTGTCCAATTGGTGGTTCTCTCTGCTATGTAGCAGTACATCTAGCAGAGTTCAATCTAAGCTGAACCCCTTTTGGTCTTTGAGAAACTCCCTAACAGTTCTTAAGTTGTCGGTATATCTCACTCAGAGCTCTGAACAACTCAGGTTTCCATCTTGAAGACCTACAGCCAAGGTGAATGTGCGAGTTAAAAACAAGACTTTTCTCTGGTCTCAGAAGATTGGGGGAAGGGAAGACCTCATTGCTTGCTACAGGTCTGCACTTTTTAGCAAAACAAGCAGCATTTCTACATTGCTCTGAAGTTCATCTTGCCAGTGAAGGTGAACCATGAATGCATTGGGTACTGACCCTTCGTGACCAAAAACTCCCCTTAGCAGCACTAACAAGGCCTGGAGTAGATCATCAATGATGCCTTTGCAAATCACCCTATAACATAATACTTGTCATTTTTAATTGCCTTTTGCCWAGGCTAGTCAGCATTCAAGCCTCTTCCAGCTGAAAACTGCTACAATATAGTATTTCTAATTCCTCTCTGGGACCACGAAGCAACCAAGCTACTTTTACCTTGTGTCAGTCTGCAAGTCTTCATCTGAGCTGCTCAGCTTGATTACAGCCCAAAAGTCTAACTTAGGTTAACACAGGTGGATGTTGTCTTTGCTTTTTAAATACCAAGAAACACCTGCTTTATTTTAGAGTTCAACACAAAACTCTTAGTTTCTGAAATACCTTTAAGGATAATAGTGGGAGACTTCCTTGCCCCAATTTGCATTCCCATTCTCTTTCTTCAYGAAATTGTTCTGTAGTTTGCCTCACCATGCCAGCACAAATTTGTTTGAAGAATTTTGATAGGATGACTTGATGTTAGCAGGATGTATGTATGCCAGCTCAGGTTGTGTGTCACACTATTCTGACTTCAGAATAATTCAGGTATTGCACAGCCATTGCAAAACCAAAAACAAAACAAAGCAAAAGGCCTGTAGAAGTTGTGCATCATGTATGTTCTTTTGTGTCCATGTCTCTCATTCAGGTCAAAGGTGACCTGGTGACCTGGCATTTCCCAGATTTGGTGCTAATTATCATTAAAATATTGCTTGAAGAAAACTCTCTGCCAGATTTACATGATATTTTTCTCAAAACCAGAAACCTTAATTATTTTCTTGTGTTCTGAAGATGGCAATATTCTAACCTGCTATGAGTACAGTTACTTACAGCAAAAAATTCACATCAAATGAATAGATTTTGTTGAGGTCTGGAAATACTTTGAGTCCAGTATTAAAAATACCACTGAAAGAGAGAAGAAACAGAAAGAATTACTGGATCACTGAACAACAATGAACAATGTATTTAAAAAGTTCAAGAGTGCAGGATAGTTATTGTATCCTCTTTATTGTCAGTCAATTCATTTATAATGAACTGTCCAAAATAGAAGGATGCAAGAACTATTAAAAAAATTCAAAATACCGGACTTATGATAAATTGTAGAATCTAAAAAATTTGAATGACTAATAAGACAGCTGCATAGATCTGCAGAGGGAAGTAGCTTCTAAGGTCAATAGGGAGAAAATAATTAAAATTCTGGTTTATTTTAGCTCGAGAGATTAAGTTGGCTTCAGTTAATAGTCTGGATCCCTGAATCCTTAATCTTTCATTTAGTTTAAGAGTTGTTCATATAGCTCTATAAAGAGAAACTATCTTAAAAAGTGAATATGCTTAATGCCCCTCCTTTCTGAACTTCTGTAGAGTTCTGTAGAGAAAATAACAGAAGAAAATATGGTTCTCAATTTTAAAACTATTTTCCTGAAATGGAATTTTTTACTACTTTCTTTTTTTATTGCTTTCACATCTATAGGAAAAACTTGTAAAAATCCTACCTCCTTTTCACTGGCCCTACCACGCACACACAGAGACCTTCCTAGTGTCTTCCAAATATTACTCAAAATCACAGAAGTTTCTCTGGAAAATCATGGAAGTTTTTCAGGATTTCTTTCTGCCATAGAGGTCATATGAATTATTCATGCACTTTTCACATTTGGCTGACAGGAATGCTTTAAAACCCTGTGTAAATTTCTAGTAAATATAACAGATGCATATACATCTGCTGTGTCCCTTCTTCCTCATATTTCCTACAAAAATAGAGTAAGACAGAACTTATCCTAAGAAAAAAGCTAACTGTGGAATTTTGCCTAGGAGCATTAGAGTATTCTAGATATTTAATGGATAAAACAAATGGGAAAACTACTGATGAATTTGTGAACATATTTTCCTTTCTCACAAAAGTAGTAATTTTTTCAAACCCTACCCTTGCTGGYTTTCTGCCATTAGAATAAAGCAACAGGGAAAAACATGGCAATCAGTTCCAAAACTAAATGCAAACTAACAAAACTGCTGTAATATAAAGAGTTYATCTGTGAGACTTAAATACCAGCTTGTTACAGGTGCAAAATACTTACAGGTATTTCAAAAGTGGGAGGTTCTTAAAGGCATCTGGATCTATGTAATCCAAGTTTCTAAGATTTCGAATTTCACTGTTAAAAGGGAGGAACATTGATCATTATTATTTAATTAGCTATCACAACAGAAATCAGCAATATTAAAATGAAATTTCAGGGACCTAATTCCTGCAACTACTGGCCAGCACTAGCTCAAGACCAGAGCAATGTTACACTGATGTATTATCATCTGGATGGATGCCACCCTGGGGATTGGCCAGTAGAAGCAAGGAAGTAAGAAATACCTGAGATTTGATTGTGGATCTTTTGTGTGCATGGTTCTAAAATCAAAACAAATAYCCTGTGGTAATGGCTATTACTTGGAACATGATGAGAGTTTTTTATCTGCAAAGTTGACTAAAAAGAAGAAAAGTAAAACGTTCAGTATTTATACATAATAATCCTATCAAATTACAAYGATTTATGTAGTTTATAATTTTATGTGCTATTTTTCTGCTTATTTTCTTCATGTGTCCAACAGTATTTTGTATTATTCTTCCCATCTCTTTTGCAGAACTCGTCAAAAGATTGCTYAGGTCACTTAAATCAACTTTGTTCTGAGACTTGACATGGGCACACCATTCACTACTATTAACAAAAGTCAGCAGTCTGGCTGCACCAATCAGACTGCACCAAAATCCTSAGTATTGAGGTAGATTCTACAGACCTACCAAATTTTCATCTTTTATTAGCAAAGCCCTCCCCCACCAGATGCAGACTTTTCATTTCCTGGAYTCCTCACTGTTTCCAGAAGGACATGGATGGTTTTGCACGTTTGCTTCTATTTCTTTACATGGAATGAGCTCTGGACACTGATCTCATAGCACTGCTGAAACAACTCTCGGCTTTTCTTACAATAGAAACCATGTAGAAAGAACAGGGTGCAAGGCTTCCTTTGGATACTAGCAGGGGAGCAATGGGCCTGAAGAAAATATTTCTGGCTACTTATGTAGAGAAACTTGACAAAGATGACAGATTTAGATGGTGCAAGTTTCGTGGGTGATATTCCATGCCTAAATCAGTCAAAGAAATGTCGCTMGTGGACAGAGATACAATGGGCAGAAACCAGTAGTATTTAATTTACCATTAACTGTGCCAAGTAATCTATATAATATAAGAATCAGAAGACTAGGATTCAAGGATACCTCTGCCTSTGGAATTATTTTAATAGGATAAAATCAATCCAGACAAGTTGTTTAAGAAATRGAAGTGGGAAAAGAGACTGAAGTTAGTAGCTAAATCATTATGTAGATACTGGTTCAAAGACTTCAATCTCTCACATATTGCTGTACTGACAAAACTGTTCTGCTTCACCTTTTGAAYCATCAGTTTTCACTCTGTTTACTAAAACACTGCAGGGAAATAGGATTCACCTTTTACTTGCAAGTTAAACTAACAACATTAATAGCTATAGTACTGCTTCTGTAATGTTGAATTCAACTACTATTCACATCTGTTAGCTACTTTGAACTGTAGCTGTTTCTGTATTTAGAAGAAATCCTCTCAGTGTCAGTTTCTTCCTTCTCTCCAATTATTTTATTAGTTRTGTAGCTATCACATTCCCAACAATRGAATTTGCTTCATAAACTTKAACAGACATGTTTTTGTCATCGCCGACTGCTTTRAAAATGTTGGACTCATGAACTTCCTGGCCCAACACTCCTCTCTGGACCAAGCATATTCCAGAGAAAGAATCTTCAGTTCAGCCTCTGGCCCGGAAATGGATAGTGCATTGGAGTATCAGAGAGTCATCAGCTTTTGGCTTGTTGCTATTCATAGTATTCTGTGTAAATTATTTGGATGAGGGTACTGGAAATAAGAATTCAAAATCTGCAGATGGTACTAAAATAAAAAGAACAAAATAATGTAATGAGATACAATTTTGATTTATTAAGTAATTTGGCCAGGAGAGGACCTGTGCTGATTAAAAAAAGGCAAATGAAAAATGAATTCATCTGGGAATGAAATATTTTAAACCACCAGATTAGACATTTAGCACCGTAATAAGAGAAAAGCTGAAATAATGTGAGGGGATAAATATGATCCGACTAAACACTGGGGAAAAGTTTATGTCCCTGCTGTCCAGTTTCCTTCAACTGGTAATGCTGGGATTAAAAGAGAAGCTTTAATATATATTGTATTTATACTTGCCTTCCATTCTACAATTTGTATTACAAAGGTGTCTTAAAGCCCAAAAGGAAGAAAAAGGCCATTGTGGAGCAGACAGCCACTTGCTTAGAAGTCTCTAGTCAAAAGAGATGAGAGAGGTATAAAAAATAAAAGGTGATTTGACAAAAGTGAATGTTATACTTAAGAAAAAAATGAGGAAAAAAATCCAATTTTCCCTACTTCTAGTCCAGTCAAATGTGCCTCCTGCATTTGACTGGCCTGAATATGTGGCCTATCATTTAATCTGCATGAAAAAGAGAAAGATCTTGTGTGCCCTGAATATATGCAAGTAACACCAAGACAACCATGACACACAGCTGAAGTGCAAAGAGTAGATTTATTCCATCATCTCGCTGGCTGAAAGACTTAAAAAAAAAAGAAAATAATGGAGACACATGGACTGCTGGGCTCATATTAGCAGGGGTGAAACAGAGTGAGGCCTGAGTGCTGCCTTACATACCAAAGGGGGCCTGGAACACGCGCAAATCTTCACCAGCTGTGTTTTACAATCTCTGCACCTCTTATCTCCTTTCTCTGCTTACAAAGAGGCCCCAMGCCTCTAAGAAGAATGCTTTTAAGTCTTCTACAATTTTCTGTTATCTTGTGAGGAAATTTCACTATTTTTAGTAGACAGAAAACAACCAAAACAACACACATACATGAGTTCTCTCACACTGTTTTCTAACATCTCCCCAATGCAAGATTGGTCTCTGAGTGAAAACAATCCTGAATCAAATTTATTTTCCTCTCTTCTTGCCAATCTTCTAGTTTTCAATCCTTTCCTCCCCACAGATCTTCAAATTCACTTCCATTCATTAGCTATGTGGCTGTCTTTGTTTTAAACACTCAAACATTAAACAGTCAAATAATTAGTCTTAGAGTACTGGAAGGATTTCCTCCACAAAATCATAGATTTAAAGGGTTTCTATTGCTCTATTGATATTGGATCCTATGAAGTTAAGCCCATAAGGAGGAAAGATATTTGAATTGTTCTGAGCTCATCAATTAGCAAGACAAACTGCATTTCAGAATTTATTTTACAGTAATCAGTCATGAGTAATATATTTGAAGGTGCATAAATGTTGTATGATCCTATTTTTCAAACTGATCAAAAGCCTGCTATGGTGTAAAGATTAATCCCAAAGGGCTCATAAAGAYAGAAGAGCAAGCTGATTATCAGTAAATTCATTAAGCAGGGTTTTCACTTTTATAATTTAGCTTTATGAATTGGTGAGCTGAAAACATTGAAACCCACAAACTTATAAAGTTATGCTTTCTTTGAAAAGCAGCTCTACAAAACCTGCTAGTAGTTTTAGGTGCCTGAAATGCTGATAAACCCAAAGAGTATACYTAAAAATGCCTAGTAAGCTAGTTCCCAGATATCTAAGTGTCTATTAGAGCTGATTTTAAATTACTTTTGAAAAGCAACTTTGATACACTCTACAAATACAACTTCACCATAGAGCAATGTTACAGTTCTGAGTTCTTCTGGATACTAAGTGTTTTTAAGGTATAAAAAACCCTCAGATGTTAGTAGGTATTTTTATGGACCATTGATGCAAAAAGGCTAAAGATGCTCTGAACAAACATTTCACTTTGCAGTCCTAACTAAAATTATTTACAGATGCTCATAAGAAAGAAGGATGCTGCTACTGACCCACGAACTAAGAGAATTATTTGTGGAGTATTTACAAAAGTATTCAAATATACTTTACAAACTATTCAACTTCTGCTCTATTTTTGGAAGTACATAATCCATTTAAAAATGGGTTTATTTGTGCTTTAAAGACAATCAGTGTTTGAAATTTTAGTTCTGGCACTCAGACTAGAATTTTAAAATGTACTAGGTTCACAATCAAATCACAACCTGACTGTCCAAGAACTACAATTCACTTTTCCTTTTAAATGAAAATACAGAAAAAACTTTATCACATCAAGAACGGATGTGTAGAAAAGTCACTTGATGATATAAAGATATGTGCCAAGACTTACAAATAACTATGAACTTATATTTAGTTGCAAAGATATAGCTACTTAGTTCCAAATCCAAATGCATCTAAAAATGAAACTAATAGTCAGAACTATTCAAATATTGGGGTAATTAATTAATTAATTGAGACATGTTTCCCAGCTAACTTTTAAGATAGATTAATATGCTACTTAAAATTCTATATTAAGTTAGTAACATTATTAAAAGCAAAAATATGTACATATTTAATTGGATTCTAAATGCCATTTATCAGACATAGCTTTTTTACCTGCCTTGCCATATTGACACATCCTTGAGCCTGTTTAAGCCTAGAATTCATAARTTGCAAACCTGGCCTTAGAGTAGCAATATAGTACTCTTATGCTGAGATACCTACAAGGACTAAGGATACCCAGGTTAACAGYTGTGAGATGTTTTAAATCAGCTTTTTAAAAAAATTTTCTTACAATAACCTGGGCCCTCCTCTCTCCCTTCTGAGACTTACTGTGTCTGTAGCTACCTTTTCTTCTCTCACTTGTACATCTACTTCCATGCTTTATTCTCCTCCTGCAGCCAAACCATCCATGTTACTTCATCTACAGGCACCTGTTTAAACCTTTGCACCACTGGCACCAGAAAACTGGCTTTGGCTCCCAACAGTGTACTTCCTGCCTCCAGAGTGAGATTTTGACAAGATTGTTTTGCTCAGCCCTTATCCCAGTGCTCTGAAATTCACTGCGGGTATACAGCATTCCCCAYAAATCTCTCCACTCTTCCTCTCCAGCTGCTTCTCTTCCTGCAGTGCTGTGTCCATGTCCTGGCATCACAGTCTGTCCAAGAGGAGTGCAGCCCTGGCCCAGGGGATGCAGAGCTGTCCTGGCCCTTGGCTCTGTCTCACTGCAGAGATGGAGAGTGGTCCCTGCCAGCTCTCCAAATGACGTCACATATATGAGGGCACAACACTTGAACCATAACCTTTGGGCCTCTTCCCAAATGCTGAGAGGGCTTTTTATGTGGTTGTGTAAGAGGAGAATGCTTTTCGAGTGAGGAGAAGAGAGCAAGGAGAGACCAGAGGAGAGTGAGCCGAGACAAAGAGAAAGGCAGGAAAAAAAGAGTGAATTTTTRTGAGGTTCCTTTCACATGAATGTTTTCCTGAGAAACAAAGACCTAACTATGACAGGTTTTTATTTACTGTAATCTTGCCAAGTTTCGGCTCTTCTAGTAAGACAACTACACAGAGACATTGATTGCTAATCACTTTCACAATGACATTTACAAAAAATACTTATGTAATTGTATGAGAGAGTTCTGAATTTGTAAACAGAGATGCTTAATAAAGAGAAATACAAAAAGAAGAAAAAAGAAACCACTGTTTAACCAATTTAACACAATCAGGGAGGAAAAAACAACAGCCAAATCTTGTTCTTTATTTATATCTTCCGAGAGTGGAAATTTTGCCATTAATTACAATCAAAATGAGATCTGGCTCATCAAAATACAGCRTGTGATCAATATCCTCAGTTTGCAGAAGCTGCTCAGTACTTGTAAGGTACGGATACATAAAAATATGACCTGTGCTTTCAGAGAGCTGAGATCTGGAAGGAACAGAAAGGCACATGAACCAAATAAGGATCAAGAAAATGAGTTGCTGAGTATCAAGGCTGAAGTGCRCTAACAAGCCTGGCAGACAGAAATCATGATGAACACAGGATGCCTTTTCACATAACACTTGGCTCAAGCAAAGCATAAGTTCCTCCCTTCCACAAACATTACATTTTCTCCTAAGAACTTCATATGTCTAAAAACAAAAATGTTTTGAAAATGAAACTGTGTGTATAAGTTTGTTAGGATAAAAAGATTATTTACATAAAGCTGCACTTTATAAAAATTCAAAGAAAAACAAGCTGTAAAAACTACTCTGTGAAATGACTTTTCAAAACTGTTAAAGTAATCTCAACCTACTTTAAAATATTTTACAATAATCTTAACCTAGCATTATTTTAGAATTAATACTTTAAAAATGGTGCATAAATGAAGAAAATTAAATAAATCATAGGCCAAGATGCAAATTGATCCCTCTATAAACCTGTTGTTTGAAAAGTAAATCAAACTCAACAGTGATAAGTTCTAACAAATCAGGAATTATGGAAACAATTCATAAAAATTATCAATTTTATAAATTGCTTTCTTTCACAGCTTATATGCAACTCTCTAACTTGMCAGATGTTGGGATATTCCCTGATTAAATAATACGTGTGCCTTACTTCCAAATAGATCTTATAAACCTGGTAAGCACATCTGAGGGGTAGAGGTGGCCYTTCCTTGTGGGCTATCTGCAAAGGCTTGCGGTTTTCCTATAACTTTTGTAAGCTAAGTTCTAATGTCTTATCCTGAGTAAAATTTTTGGCTCTTATGCAGAAAAAAAGAAAAAAGTATATGTTGTATGTCTGTGTACAGTTTCTTTCTTGGTTGTGCCTTGTGAGAAATAAAAGGGGCCCCACTTTACCATTGTACAGAGGAGCAGGAAACATTCCTCCCCTCAGCCTGTGAAGCTCTCTATTCAGTACATTGCATTCCCATTTTGACAGGCTGGATTCAGGTATCYTACCAGTTCAGGAACTGCCTTAGTGTTTTTTGGTGAGGATTGGTCAGAACATGAGAACAAAAAGGTATAAAAACACTTCCCAGAAGCATTTTTCCATATTATTATTTTTCCWTTTCATAACCATATAAACACACTTCTTTTTACTAGTGCACTTTTAGAATTATTACTTATTCTTCATGTCTCCAGCTAGAGCCATTTTGCTCTGTTCTTTGATCCTTCTGATTTTATTTCTGGTGCTTATATTACTGTTTTACACTCACCTGCAGTAAATTGACTGAAATAATTCCTAGTTGCCATTTAATTTCAACTTACCATCAAGCTCATGRTGTAGTCCCATCAGTTTCTCACTACATTTACCTACATTTCTGTGGTAGAATACAGAAGAGCAGGGGAACAAAAAAATGTACACAAAACAAGTGCAAGAAAATAAGCCCAAAAACCATACTGACTCACTCGGTATTATGGAGAAAGGAAATGAGAAATTGAATRTTTAGCTACAAAGGAGACTGGTATGACAACTCAAACATGATCGTGTATGTTATTTCCACACATCCCACATCGATCTCGTCACTGTATTCATTTATTTAATTACACTACTTACATGTGAGTGACTTTGCTTAAACTGTTGAAGGAATGGGCCTCCAGACTCTGAAGTGTTTCATCTATAGAGATGTAGCTAAACACCAGCAAACAGAAAAAGAAATACATTTCAGACATGGGAAACCAAGGGTAGTGCCCATCACRCCACTTTATTTTTCATCTCATTATTTTTTTCATCCAGCTATGATGACTGCCAGACACATGAACAGGGTCTAAGGAACACACGATAAAAAACCTTTTAAGGATTTTGATTTTGACTAATGTTTTAGAGGCACCTTATATGGCAGAATGGAGTAAAACAAAACAGCACAGCAGGGCTAATAAGCAGCAAAAGCAAACATGAATGTGCCACCATTCAGCATCATATTTCTTCCCTTTTTCTCATTTAAGATCACCTTGGAGTTCTCTAAGGAGACTCTAATCCTCAGGTAAATTGGCACATTTCTCTATACTAAAGAATTTTAAGAAGGAAGGAAAGAAAGAAAGAAAGATGAACACTGTAACAATCATTGCAATTTCTCTAGAAAGAGACCGGTCATCAGGACACCCAGTGATTCGATATTGCTAAGTGAAAATGTGCGCTAAAACATGAATTTAGAGAGAAACTCTAGCCATACAATGAGTGTCATAAAGAATGTAAGAAGTAATGTGGGTCAGAAAGAAAACCAGACAGCAAGAAATATTTATTTGCACTCAGTTCAGACTGATGATAATGCTGAAATTYCTATCAAAGACTTTGAAATTGAATAAAGTTGCAATACAACTAGAGCTGATTGTAAGTATTGCTCTTTAGGTTGAATTATCTGATTCTTTCTTTCAAAATATCTCTTAGCTTCAAAATTTATTAATACTGGGATAGCATTTAGGTGATCTATTAYTGTATTTTATTTTCTAATATTTTATGCCATATTTCTAATCTGTATATATTTCCTTAAAAATTATTTCCTTGTATGTTTTTATAATTATGGGTAAAATATTTTAGTACTACCTTTTGACACTCTTAATCAAAATTGATTAATGCAGTTTTTAATATTTTGCATGATTACACATATATACCCTACGCAACTCAATAATTATTTTAAATGCACAAAATYAAATTGACTAGATAAGTCCCAGACATCAATTTTAGATGTGAAAAAAAAATATAATAAAGAGGATCACATGCAAAGCATCATCCTAAGCCAGGAAAAAAGTTCCTTATCTCTGACCTTAAAAATACTGAATGTGTCCCCTAGTCAGTAGAAAACACCAGGTGAAACCCATCTAWAAAGATTTAATGTATTTTTTCTTGCATTTGAATATCCTATAAAACTTTTTTGTAATCAGTGATGCATTTCTGACAGGAATTAGTTTTGCAGTTAAACACACAATTAAAATGCTTTTTCCTTCATTCCTGTGGAAAAGAAGCAGGGGAAAAATCTACTTCTGGCTATCAAGAGTACATTCATTTAAAAGAAATTGTAGCTAAATTTTTTGTTTAAACAAGGTTCATAAAGAGGACAAATAAATTTTCTCTTCAGTACAGAGGAAAAAAGTGTTTATTTGTGGAAATCATATAGTAGAAACCATATAGCAAAATGAACTGCTGTATTTGGAACAGTAAACACAGTCTATATTTCTCTATTGAAACTTCAGAACATTTTCTAGATGAATTTGCAAAGCCAGAAATGATCTGGTAATTTTCATTGCTGACAGAAATTATGGACTCAGAGAGGCAAATGACACATGTGGTATGTTAGAGRCCAAGACATACACATAAAAGTTGGAGTTAAAATACAGGTACTGGTTCCTTAACCTGAAGTTTATATCAAGAAGGTGGGAGTGCATGTTTTGTGGTAGCAGTAATGCTATAAGAAATATCCAGATAGGCACTGACACTATCCAAATTTAACCCACCAATTGGAGTTTTTGGAGCCAAAGAAGAGCTGACACTCTTCTRTATTAAATCAAACTCTGTTCTAAACTAAGTTTATCCTTTTTATGTATGACATATATATCATATGAGGGATGTTCCCCCCTCTCAAAAAGAAAAAGAAATAAAACCAAACAAACAACATACCATCTATCTGATTAAACTGAGATGGTAAATGAGGCTGCAAATATTCAAAACCCATTATTTATAAGGATTTTAGAAAGTCTTTATTTCAACATGTCTAGATGAAACRATAGAGTATAAAATTGGACCATGTTCTTCCAAAGTCCTTTTTCATGAACTCTTAAATGGTATTCCTCACTATTCAAAGCTCATATAGACTTTAGTAATAAAAAGCTGAACAAGAAAAAGGTGAACCTCTTACTGAATGAGGTGCTTCATTTAGTTAACAGTGGTGACAGATAAATTAGAGCACAAGACTGATAAAGTGCTAAGCATTCTGGTTGGATTGTATAAGCAGATAGTGGACTGAGGTCCCTTCTAAATTACACAGCTCTAATTCTAAGTAGTGAATTATGAGATGGCAGAGAAATTCACTGCATCAAATTCATGCACAGGATCACAGACTATGGGCCAGCAACAAAGAACAAGMAAATGTGGGACAACTTTTTGTCAAGACTGCTGACATCCATGAGCAGTACAGTGCAAGGACAGCTATTGAGAGATTCATTCAGCACAGGTAGCTCAGTTTGCAGCTGCAGTGGGAGCTGCACGTTGGGCTCTGGCTGGGAGGAGCCCGGGGCAAGGGACCATGAACTGCCGACTTTTGCAAAACAAAGTGCCTGGGGACCTGTGGCAGAGCCAGGTGTCCCAACACTCAGAGGCACAGCAGGAGTCAATGACCCCAGATGYTGGAGTACTGAAATTGTGAGGGTGTAAAAGCCCAGAGATTCCTTTGTTAGGGATCCCTCATTGGAGGAACCAAACTCGGGCTGTTATTTTTTTTTAGTTATTGAACCAAGATGAAACTACTGAAAGATCTGAACATCTGAGACTCTGCAATGGGAAATGTGGGATTGAGCTGGTAATGGCGTGAGTGTAGCTGTCAGAGTGGTTCTGGGATGGTCAGACAGGCAAGTTTCCTTAACACAGCACCTTCAGTGGGACAGATGTTGATGTGAGGCAAATAGGTGGAGGCTGCTGGTTCTGCTTTTGTGCAAGTGACACAATGGAACTCTCACATCACACAAAGATTAATGTTTTGGTGAAAGTCCATCTCTAGTCTAGAAATTGTCTCCAATGAGATGTGTTGCAAATGAGCTTGAAAAAACAGTTTTGCCAGGACCAACAATTGAATATGTTAATCTGTTACGAGTGAAACTATTTGCTGTAATTTGCAAACTAAAAAAAGTTTTATAGCTTTTTTTATCACATTGACTTCAATAAAGGAAGAGCAGTCTTGTCCACAAATGCTTAGAATGACTTCTTATAGCTGGTTCAGGTTCTAAACGAAAGAATTATTACCTGCATTTTAACATGTAAGCAGTGAGGAAGCAAAGGTACACGGATTTTAATTTAATAAGTTTTTATACACAAARACAGACTTTTGGAGAAGGAGTGTGATTTTTAATAAAATCTTAGAAGAATAATATCAGAAACAGAACGCAACTTACATCCTAGAGATGTTGGGGAGATTGGAAAAAGCATCTCTTGGAATTGTTCTTAGATGAGTCTCCATAAACCTCCTAGAGAAAAAAAAAGGTTTGGCAGTTAATATCCTTTGTTAAGTAAAACTTAACATTAAAAATTCCTTCACAGCTTCAGCTCTGCTTCAGTATATTTTTTCCTATCTTCCKTTTTCCCAGGTTTTTCCTTTTTGCCATCTTTGCCTCATTTCTATTCCTGTCTCATTGTACGGCATGCTTTGTTTGGTGTGCTCCCTCAGTCTGAATTACAGCTTTCTGCATAATTTCTCCCAAGAACTCAGCAGTCGGTGGTGATGATGGACCTTCCAAAGCTCCAGAGCACGTTCAACAAAATATATTCGCCCATTGACGCAATGAAATGTTAAGAGAATAAGCATCCTTTAATAATTTCAGGCTCCTGARGAGATCCCATCCCTCATTCTAAGCRAGAAATTCARGTATATCAGCCAAAATTGAATTATAGCAATTGTATATTGGCTCCACAAAATTCTCCATTTTCTTTCTAATAAATACAACATTCTTCCTCCCTAAACCTCTGATGCAGGCGTGTCATRTACCTTACCCATCTGCAGGAGATTTCAGAAAAAACAGGCAATATTTAAGGGAGATTCTTATCAACAGGTAAGCTCTTAACAGAATGAATTTCCACCAGACTCACTCCTCCAAAAAATAAAGGAGGAAATGCTTTGGAAAAACAGCCTATGGTAGCTGTTCAACTTAAAACCTCTCATTGTTAATCTCTGGTTTTCCAGAACAGTTTGGGAATACACTTATATCATTTCTAATCAATGAATAGTCTGAAGAATAATCAAGAACAAATTATAAACCTTTCCCCTTGCTTCTGTTTAACTACAATAGAAAAGAAATTAAAAATGAGGATGATTTCCTAATTCATTTCTAGAAAATGAAGAATTTAAACACTATCCTAAGTTTCTTCTTGACCTCCTGCTCTTATGTCAAATAATTATCCCACTTCATGAATGAATGGAGTTAGACCCACCATTCATGACCTGCATGAAGACAGCTCACATTAATCTTGAAATCTCCTATAAATCTTGAAATTTATCCATACTGTCAGAAAAGCTTAGAAATTCTGGACAATATTTATGAATCAATTATATCAAATTGTATTATGAAATGACTTTGCATTTATAAATTTCCAGACAAGACTTCTTATATATAAAAAATAGGTATATAAAGAATATACCCTTAWAGGTTATGTTTTGACTGAGTGGTTGGTAAATTTGTTATATGAGCTCAAAGTGGAAGTACTATATCTCTTCTTCCCTCTCCTTGCTATTGTTGAAAGTTATACCAACATTCTGGAGTTATGAAAAAGCTCCATATAGGTTACAGGATGTGTTTTTAAATTGACTTAAAAAGAAAAGAGAGATGATTAAGTAGAGGCAGGAGAAAAGAAATAGCTCATTTTACAGCAAAAACTTAGTTGTGTGGAGAAGCAATACCAGAGATTGTCAGCAAAGCTAAAAGGCTCCAAGCTCATGTAACACACCTACTACTAAAACAACACACTAAACACTAGCATGCAGCAGATATTGACAAAYTGGTATTTATTAACAATGTAAATTCAGCTCAACTACTTGCTGTCTTAAGAGATGGCTGACTGAGTTCAAAGTCTTAATGATTAAGCAGATCATAAAATGAAGTTAATTACAACAGGCCTGGGGCCAGGGCCAAACTTTTAAGCCAGATTTTGTGTACTAGCACCTGCAAAGCTCCAGTGCTGTTTGAGCATTAAAATTCTGCGAGCTGATAGATTTCTGCTAATTTGAAGCCAYCTCCTAAGGCAATCTAAAACTTGCAGAGAAAAATCAGTGCTTCAGTCCCTGTTTGCCAGGTGTGAGTCTGTGCATGATTATTGTTTGGAAATCATGAGGCACCACTGTCRGGTAGAAGTCTGTGGGATGGACAGTAATTCTGAGTGGGAAGAAGACAGGCAGAGAAAATTCCCAACCAGCAAAGTCTATGATGAACCAAAAATGAGGGTAATTTATATAGACTAGCTCTAGTTGAGCCTACTCAAACTGCATATAAAGATCACAGCCTTACCATCTGTGTTAATACACTTCTAGGTTTCTAGGTTTTTATATCCAAWTAAATCCAACAGAAACAAAAATATGTGCTTTTAAATTATTCTGAAATAAATGCATTGGAGTCTTTCAGTGATGTGCAAATAGCTATAAAAAGGCATTTCACCATGTGAAATGCATGCTGAGCTTACCAGAAGATGATTACCACCTAGTGTCTAATGTTAGTATTGCCAATGGTCATTGGTCATCCTTCCCGCTCTCTTTGTATTTTTTTCCATTTCTAAGTATTTTTTTCCACTTCTACTCCAAATGACGATACCAGTGCTCTACCAGGTATTCAAGGTACAGGCAAACCCTACATTTATACAGCGGMAAAAGTCTGTTATCTGTTTCTTAACCAGTATTTTCTAATATTAGATTTAGGTTTTGGCTTTGTAGTTGTTTGTTTTGAGTGGGTTTGTGGGCTTTTTTTTACTCTTTCTATACACCGAATCCAGAACTAATGCCAAGATCTAACATAATGTGAAGATCTCTCCCTCATGAAATTATGAGCTCAGACCCTGACATTTTTTAATATGTATTTAATAAGTCTTTGTATGGTTCTCCCACTGAACCTTATCTTTTCCTCTATGAACACCAGCCTTCATTTACCATTTTGTTTCCCAGCCTGTGAAAAATTCTGAAATTCTTCATAGTCAGTTCTCAGCACTACTACCTTAGTAACTTCCTTCCATGAGTAAACTTTGTCACTTTACTGTTCATCTCCTTTTTGCAAGTAATTTATAAGCATATATTAAACATTCTAAGGTGTTAACCAGATGCCTCTGGRACTTCATTTATTCTTGTCCCTTGTTTCCTATTTGTAAGATGAACAATAATAAAAATAATAATAAAAATTAATRACTAATAATTTTTGAGAGCCTTTTCCAGATTGCTACAAGCTTGGAAATGAACCAGACTTTTTTTTTTTCCCCTAACAAAGAACTAAATTTTCACTGTATATGGAAGTGCCTCCCTCAGGAAGAGGTAACTGCATTAACTTATATTTAATATGAAAAAATCTCACGCAAAGCTATTTCTTAAGGAAGATCTAAATAAAGATACAAACAAACATATGCAGAATGTGCTCTCTTTGATCAGCCTCAAAGCTTAAATCTATTTACTTGTATATTAACAGACTTACCACAGTACTGCAGTACCATGTCTGCTACCTTAGGTTCTCTAAGATTCAAAACCCAAAAWGCTGTACAGTCTGAAATACCAGCTGGTACTCCATTGCTTTTGTTACTCTTAATAAAAATGCCCTGGATGCTGACCAGATTTCTGTACCAGCATTTATTAGTTTCCCTCACCCTTCACCGAGGATTTTACACAATCTGATAGGGAGAAAAAGAGGCTTTCAAAGCTGGACACTGAATTTTTAGTACTAATCTGGAACCTTTTAAAAGAGGCTACAAATTGAATATCCATTTGCATATGAGATGCACTTCTCATAGTGCCTTTATTTAACTTGTCATCACCACAAACCAACACCAAATTATTCCTTACATTCCTTATACAGGAAAATAATCAAGAAAATTACATTCAGTATTTCCTTCCTTGTCTATATATCTGCTCTTCRTGGACCAAAACCCTGTAACTGTGGCATTGTAGGAGGACAGGACACAGGTAATTCTTGCCTCCAACTGTAATGTAGGACTGCAGACAGATATAGACAAACACAAGCAACTGTAAGGCAGTAGAAAGCTATATATTTACATATATAATACATGCCCATTCCTGGAATAGGTTGGCTTTCTTTTCCCTAGACAGCCAGAGCTTTGTCATTGTAATTTATAAATGAAAGTTATTCAAGCAAAGTGAATATGAAACCAGAATTACTGTTCGCATGTGTTTTCAGTAGAAATTCAAGCACTCTTGAAGTAACTACCTGTGTCCTTTATGTGCCTTTTATATAAAAAAATAAGTTTCAGGGATCTTTCTGAATTTTAAAGTGTCTCTGTTTCTATAAAGGCCTTTGAGGCTTTTAAARCTTCTTTCCTCTCTGTCACATATGACCACAGACTTTCTTTGTCTCACAAAACCAGATGTTGTTTTTTTTGTTCAAATGGAATAGAAAGAAATTTCTTAATTTACATTTTAAATGAAAAAAATACTATGAACTAAAGCATGCCATACTATAATCTCTGCTCAGCTAGTCAGGTTCCAATCAAATTCCTTCTTTATTCCCAAAGAAACATAAAAAATTTCTTTTAAGGACATGGTTCAAGTGGTAATGTAAATAGGCCCCACTGAAACATTTTCAGTCTGGGAGAATGGCCTCTGTTCAATCCATATGTCTAACTCATGCAAAAATCAGGAAAATGAACCAAAAAAAAAAAAAGGAAAAAAGTAAAAATATGTAAATATCAAGAAGTTTTAAGAAGAAAAAGATGACACCATTTTGGTGGAAAGGGTAAAGATTCTTCTCTTTTCTTCCTGACAGCCAGAAAAAAAAAAAAAGATAATGCTGTTTCTTAGACYTGGGATTTTGCAGTGAGTATAGATACACATTTTCAGAATTATATTAGAACCAAACCTTTCCTTTTCAGCTTTATGAATTTCAAAATTGTCATGAGGACTGGCTTAGACTCAGCCAAATGCATGTGGATCTTGGGACTTGACAGAATATTGTATTAGAGATAGTTTCTGAGGAGGACAGATAATTTTTCTTTTGGAACTTAATTTACCCACAAACAGGAATAGAATTATTTTTCTAATAGCTACATTAAGATCTAGACTTCTGATTTTTACCTTTATTCACTCTCCTGTGACAGAGTTTTCCCTTTTCCTAACTTGCATCAGTCCTTGTGGAGGAAGGAAGAGGAATTTTACCTGTCAAAAGGATTCTGCAGGAAAATTGTATTTAATATATTCCTAGTTTATGTTACCATTTTTGGAAACCCACTAATTAAATGGGTAAGAAGAAAACTGACTTCTTTTACCATG